CTAAGAAAGTCGTTTGTTGGAGCTGTTCCTCCCATTCAAAAAAGCCTGAGAGCGAAGGAAACATAGTGCTGCGCTTTTCTCTCTGTCACAGACAGGCTCGTTTAAGCGTTGTCAAGGTAACCGTGCTTCAAACAGATTTTACCTCTGCTGTTTTAAACAGCACATATTAATCTAATGGAGGGTGAAAGCACTGATTTAACATTGGGAAATGGATACTATATGACTGCTGTCCATGACACTTCCCTTGCCACTCAACACTGATAGACTTTCAAAATAAGACTCCAGGGACCCTAAAAAATTAAAAGCCTCTATATTTTTTACATATATTTATTGCCCTATATGGCTCAACATTATGACCAAACTCAACCCATTTTAGAGAATAGACTCTAGGAAACTGTTTTTAAACACACCCTATGGCAAATTTCAAATAAAAGCCTCCCATTTCCTCTTCATCTACTGCCCTAATAACATGGAAAAAAAAGAGTGATTTGACGATTGGAAAGTCATCAACTATCATTGCTGGGTCTGAACATTTTCTCTAAACACAACTCTGTTGGACTTTCAAAATAAGACTCCAGGGACCCTACAAAATAAAAGCCTCTAGATTATACTAATGCAATAATTGATGCAAATGGCTCAACATTATCAACCAAACTCTTCCAGGTTGTTTTTATTAGACTCTAGTGACCTTTTCAAAACACACCCCAGAGCAAATTTCACAATAAAAGTCTCCCATTTACTCTGTAATAAAGCAGCTATTCACCTAATAACATGGAAAACCAGTGATTTAACATTTGGAAATGGATTCTATACCACTGCTGGGCATGACCCATCTTTTGATGCACATCCATGATAGACTTTCAAAATAACACTACAGGGACTCTACAGAATAAAAGCCTCTTCCTTATACACACTCATACATTGTGGCATATTGCTCATAGCCATTTGTAATTTCATCACTGCAATGGCTCTGAGCATGCGGGCGGAGCCCGCCATTGGTGATTTCATCACTGCAATGGCTCTTAGAAGGCGGGCGAAGCCTGCCAATGGTGATTTCATCACTGCAATGGCTCATAGCAGGTGGGCGGAGCCCGCCATTGGTGATTTTTTTCATCGCTGCAAGGGCTCCTAGCAGGCGGGCAGAGCCCGCCAACTGCGCTTTACCCACTGCGGTTCAATATGGAAAACCCATATTACCCCTGTGCATCATATGCTGTGCACGTCTATTTCCCAGATTTCAGCACAAGTGGCACACAGCTCTCTTTGCCCATGACTTGGCCCTCTTTCCTTCCCTCAGCAGCCCTCAAAGGCGTAAGCAGTTGGTCTGGGGAGCCCCGACGTCACTTGCCAGGGCCGTATTGGCCCGGTTACCCAGACGGGCAGTAGGTGGCCCCCCTCAAAATTTCTTTAGAAATTTTCTAGTTTTGTTTATTCTGGTCTGCTAACCAATTTAAAATCAAGCTTTTTTAAATACAGACAGAACTATACTATTTTTAGCTTGTTTCATTCTAGTTTTCTTGTGTATACACCAGTTAATGATGTATTATTTGTCCTATCAGTACTTTTTTGAGCAGAAGAACAATATCCTGAGTAGCACTGTATTTGCCGAAGTCTTCGTCATTCTGTATCACAGCGAAGCGGACGTCAGGAAGGTCAATGGCTGTGGCGTAGAACACCTGAACGTAATCGTGGTTCAGCTCCTTTACACACAGAAATAAGATGGTTAGGACTCTGAGAGAAGTCTGAACTTTTTAAACCATAGAAACATGTTTACCTTGAAGAAACCAACCACTGTTAGATCGTCTGAGGCCTCTAATTGGCTGAGATCTATGATGAGGTCAGCAGGTGATCCAGCCCTCCTTTGTAGCCAGATCAAGATGGAAGCTGAGCTCTGAGGAACTATTTAATAGTTCATAAGACAAAGTTACTTAGTTATATTACAAGCATTTTAGCAACTTCTTTAAGGTTCTTTAAAGGCAAAGTCTGGTCATATTCAGAATTCAAACTTCTGAAAGTACTTTAAATGTGAAATTATTCAATGCTGTTTTAGATATAGATAATGAATAAAAATTAAACATTTACATATATATATATATATATATATATATATATATATATATATATATATATATATATATATATATATATATATATATATATATATATATATATATATGTATATATATATATATAGATATATATACGACTTAATTTTTATGTATATGATCATTTTTAAAACAACTTTGATAAAATGTTAAATATGTATATATGTATCAACAATTAGGTAAAATGTAGTCAACCTAATCATGTCTAAAAGTTGAATTCATTATATGTTTAAATCATATATTAAGATTTTAGTTTGTAATTATTGTAATTATATTTCACTAGATAATTTGAATTAATGTAGCCAACATCTTATATATCCATAAACAAACAAACTGCAAATCATGTGCTTTAACTAAATGGTAACATTAAATTACATAAAATGAATGTGTTAAAATGAATGAATATGTGTTATTTATTATGTTTAATTTCGTGTTTAATAGTTCACTTTTTATTTAGCTAATTATTTATGATGTGACGCAAATTGTTTAGAGATTAACAAATATATAAATGGTAAATTATGTAATTACTTATCGATATTAAAGCTGCAGTCTGTAACATTGAGAAGAGAGCAGACTTCGACTGAAAATTTGAAGAAAAACAGGTTTCACGCCACTCCCCAACCCTCTCTGCTTCACTCATGCCCCACCTCCAAGCTCCACCCCTCTCACAGCACCTGCGCGGCTACCGCATGCGACCAGATGCGTCCAAGCAGCGTACGCGGCATGGAGTGTGAACCGGTAAGAGCGATAACACTCACCTCCAAGCAGCTAGATATAAGATGCTGGTTATACAGAAGTTTGCCGTGTGAGCAGTTGTCGGCAGGGGCAGTAAGGGCAGTTTCTCTTTCGCTGGTGGCTGTCGCTCCGCCATGACTTCCACGCGCGTCCTTCTGACTGCGGCAGCCGGGCGCTGCGGCAGGTTAAGCGGTGGGGGGGGGGGGGCTGTGATTGACACTCCATCAGACGCTCCTCTGGCTGTGATTGGTTGTTTTGACTCGTCCCGAATTATTCTTTCCAGATTGAAATACAGGCAGTATGCGGTACCAATTGAAGCAGTTTTTTTTCACAGGTTACATATCATATGTACTGCTGTCTGGGCATAGGGACAGTTTTAGCCAATATGACAAAAAAGTGATTTTTAAAAACTTACAGACCTCAGCTTTAAAACGTGAGATACTAGACTAACATCCACTAGTGGTTGCTGTGTTTGTTGCAGGAAGAAGGAAGCTATGTTGTTTTTTATCATATATATTTATTGCCTTTAGTTTAATGATGGTTTATCTATAAGCGTAGCTTCCTTTAAAACAGCAATGCGTTGTTTAGTTTAGTGTTCAGGATCTATGGGTGATAATGGTTGTTATGAAGACTCTGTCATGAGTTAATCATTAGACTTAGACTAAGACTTATTCTCATTTTGTACACAGACTGCATACAAAACAAAAATTTTCTTCAGTACAGCTCTCAAGACATTTTCATTTTTTAAAGTGCAGATGTGATAAAGGTAAGCACTTTAGTAGAATTTATCAGTGCTAAAGTGTTTTTCCACAGGCTCGATCATACAGTCGATCGTACAGCTGCATCTGATCCAGAATGCTGCTGCCTGTGTCCTCATTAAAACTAAGAGTGGAGCACATCACCTTGTATCTAAAGTCTATCTCAGAGAACAGAGTTTTTGGGGAGTGGCAACTTAGTGGTTAGGGCATTGCGCTTGGAATCCTGAGGTTCATAGTTCAAGCCCCTCTAAGTCCCTAAGGAAGACCCTTAACCCCACACTGTTCACCGGGCGCCACTGCTCCCCAAGGGGATGGGTTAAATGCAGAGACTGAATTTCATTGCTCTGTACTTGTGACAGTGTAAAGACAATAAAACACTGAAAAAAAACAGAACCAAACATGAAGGAGCTGCTTTTAGTTCTTATGAACCACTAATCTGTAATCAACTCCCAGAAAACTGAAAATGCTGAAACCCTAAATTGCTTTAAATCCAGAATATAAACATGTTTGTTTAGAGTAACCTATGGCTGTGCTATCTAAACACTATTAGTTAAAGTTTGCATTCTAACTTTCTTTCAATTTATTATCAATCATGTTGTTATTCATCTTTTGTAATCATGTTATCACTAATTATTCATTCTTGTTAATTATGCAATTACCTTGATGCGACGGCAATGTTCTCTGTGTTTTTCTAAATTAGGTTTATTTTTCATGTACAGCACTTTAAACTGTTTTGCTACTGAAATGTGCTAATCAAATAAACTTACATTACATAAAAATATTATTTATTTTTATAATTTTCTGTTATTTTAAGTTATTTCTTTGACTATTAAACACTATTCTTATTCATCATTTAGAGCAGAGCTTTCCAAAATTTTTAAACTTAAACTGTTTTATGTTTTTTTTTTTTATTAAAATTTGAATAGTCTTTCAGTCTTGTATAGGTTCTGTTATTAGTTCTAAAGGTTGAATTCTATAAGCCTTGCTCCGAACTTCCTCCAGCGAAATAGCCATTGGCCTGTAGACAAGACACTGATTTATTTCAAAAGTAAAGTTGTTTTATGTCTCATGCTGGTAAAAAAAAAAATGGAGATCAATAAATTGAGAAATTTTATCTTCTGTGATCCAGACTAAATCTAATAATCCAAAAGGTATTTTATTAACCATATATTACAGTGTGTCAAACACACATACCTGGACAGGAAGCTGGACTGTTGATGTCTCCAGCGAGGTAGAGTCTGATTGTAGGCTGACTGCTCACATTTAGCTTCTTTGCCAATTCTTTTTCTTTTGTCACATCGATGACTGCTAGTTTGACCTCTGACCCCTGTAGCTCTGCACCAGCGGCTTCAAATGCGGCTGCCACACGTTGGCCTTCTGATGTCAGCGGAGTATCTGTGAGACACAGAGAGAGAGCGAAGGTTAGGAGTGGTTCTCTGAAGTTGTATTTTACAGAAATAAACTGCAGGTTAAATCCATTTCTGTGTGTTTGTGTGTGACTTACAGAAATGCACCAAAAGCTGCTTGTGTTTTCTCAGAACCATTTTGAAGTTTCCCTTGTGGAGCTGCAAAATTCCTTCATTCTCTGGAAATGTTTTGTCTTCCTGTGTGTCAGATTGTGTGTCGGCTGCAGCAGACACAAACAGAGAGAGGACCATCGCTCCCAGCAGTGGAAACACCAGCTTCTTCATGATGGATCATCCACACTTTAACAAACTAGATGCAGGGTTTACTTTACAAGACGGTGAGACAGTGGAGGGTGTGTTTATTATCTGTTATCAGACCAACCAATCCGTTGGTGATTAACTTCCCTATCAGAAGCCTGCTGTAATTCTGCTATTGGCTGCTGCAGACCTCATATCAGTTCACTAATATAAACACCTCCTTTACCTGACAGACTGAACTAGGTCAAAATGGAGTCAACTATCTTATAAATTGTAGAATGGATGGATGAAAATTTAAAAAAAAAAAATAGGAAAAACAGAATGGTTTGTTTGTTATCTCTGGAAGAATAGAATTAATAATTCCATTTAAGGGTCAAAGTAGTTTTAAGTAATTTTAAGTTATTGTCTTTAGTCAGAATTAGGCTAATTTAAATTGAAACTCCTGTTTGAAAAAAGTTATAATAATAACTTAATAATAATAATTTGCAATATAATTATTTCTATTATTTAAATCATAAATCATGTAGATATGAGACAGTATCACTGTAATTAAATATTTATCCACAAGAGGGCAGCACTAGTCTAAAACAGATTGTTTCAAGAGCTGTCAGAGAACTGAAGAGATACTGATGTCTTTGTAAACTGCTGTATATGTGAATGTGTAGACATGTCTAAGAACAGGACTACTCTGGTTGCTTTCTAATGCATTTTAACAGATGTTTTAGAAGGCCAGATTAAAATGGTTGATTGTGGAATATTGTTGCTTCGGTTTTGTTTTGTTTTTTATTTGCTTCACATGCTTTAGAGATGCAGGCTGAGCTTCATCATTTTAAATTAATTTAAAGAAAATGTGGATAGTGAGGGGATCTTCTTTGAAATGTAGAAATGCAAAGACAAAAACTGTCATTGCAGTTCAGTGCAATTTGTCCATTCATTAATTAATTAGTTTATGGTGTTTTGCAAAATTGTACATTTTCATAACTATCTCCCATATTTTTTACATCACAGACATAAATCAGATTGATCTGGGTTTCATTTGTAGTATTGTAACAAAAAGGGGATATTAGCTATTTAACGTTACATTATTATGAAAACAGTCTGTTTTGCTGTGTGGGTGTATTGTAAGCTTTCATGTTTCACCACATATTCTCTGTTTAAATCTATACTTTGACTAAGCCAATCATATATCATCATGTGACCAAAGCCCTTTCTTCCACACAATAACTGTGTCACCTATAAACTTTAAACTTCTGATCTTCCTTTAACAATGACTTTCTTCCTTCTCTCCTCCTTGAAATACCCATCAGTGGTCCTTTTAACAGATTCTTACACCTGAGCTGTGGGTCTCTGTAGCTCCTTCAGAGCTACAATTGAGCTATTGGTTTCTTTCATAATCAATGTTTTCCATGCCCATCCTGTCAGTTCAGATGGATGCCAATTTTTGGCAAGTTTGCTGTTATAACTCACTCTTTCTATTTGTGGACAATGAGTTGAACAGTGACCTCCTCAATACATCACTGACCTCATCCAGATTTATTCTCCGGCACATGCTCTGAGGTCTGAGGGCTATCTTCAGTTAATAGTGCCCAAGACGAGGCTTAAAACCAGAGCGGACAGAGCCTTTTCTGTAGTTGGCCCCAGACTTTGGAATACTCTGCCCCTCCACATACGGACTGCCTCTACTGTGGAGTGTTTTAAGTCTCGTCGTAAGACCCACTTTTACTCTTTTAACAATGTGTAGTTTGCGGGGTCCTCTTTGTCCTTTTACCGGTAGTTGTATTGTGTTTATGTACTGTTGTGTTGTTGTTTATTATTTGTCATGTACAGTACATTGGAAACTTTTTCTGTTATTAAATTTGCTATATAAATAAAGTGGATTGGATTGGATTGATTGGAGATCATAAGGGAATGGAAAATTGTATCTTTAGCCTAATTTTTTGGTTATACTAAGACCTTAAGAGAATAGAGCAAATATTCTGAAAAACTCTTGACAGTTGACTGATGATTAATGCTGCAAGCATCACTATTTGAACCACACAAACATACAGTTCTCACTCTTAGTTTACTAAACTTTTTTTTTTTTAATCCAAACTCTACAAATTCTCCCTCTGACTTTTATGGCTGCAGAGTTGTTTCCATCATATTTGTTGGTTTCTACTTCCACTCTGGTATCTAGGTCATACATTTAAATCCTTTCACTCTGATAAAGACTTTCTATTTATCAATCTTAGTAATACATTCAAAACATTTACATAAAATAAAATATTTTCCTCCCAAATATAGGCGAACGTCTCAAGCAGCTCCAGGTTAACCCTGCACCCCCCCACCCCCCGTCTCTATGCAGTCAGTAACCAGCTTGTCAGACCAGCCTGCTCACTGTTTACTGTTTGCTGTCCATTTGTCTCTTCCTGTCTCCACACCCCAACCAGTTTACCAATGTTTTTTCCCATTAGGCAGGGAGTTTCTCTGTTTTCCTTACCGTCATGAGGCACCCATTCAAAGGGAGCAGACCTGCTTCTTTTTATGAAAATTGGCCCTCCTTTTTCCATTTTAACTGGAAGTGATTCAACAAATAACAGACTAGTTGCTTTATCTATTGAACAACAAGCAGCAGCTGCGTCTTAGGTAATAAAGAGTGTAAGTATATATCATGGAAAAGTCTATTTGTTTTATAGCGCAATTCAAAATGTAAATTTACATGGATTCCCTACACAGAGAGATATTTGAAACATTTCTTATATTCTAATAAATTCAAACAAAATATAGGATGTCATTGAATGGTAAATGGCCTGTTGTTCTATCACTCTTTATCAGGTCTGAGGCCTCCAAAATGCTTTACATTACAATCAGTCATTAACCCATAAATTCATGGCAGGTGACGTGTCTTTCTATTCTATTTTCTATTCTCCTCAGCTTCTTAAATGCCTCTGATGTGTTTTCTGATTCAGAGGAAACTGAACCAGGGAACACATCAGAGATATTTTTCATAGCACACTTTGTTCCCTTACACTTACTTACTGACATGATTGATGAGCAAGGCCAGCCAAGGCATTAGCAAAGCAGATAGATAGATAGATAGATAGATAGATAGATAGATAGATAGATAGATAGATAGATAGATAGATAGATAGATAGATAGATAGATAGATAGATAGATAGATAGATAGATAGATAGATAGATAGATAGATAGATAGATAGATAGATAGATAGATAGATAGATAGATAGATAGATTGATTGATTGATTGATTGATATATTTTTAAGTTCTCTTTTTGATTTTTCATTGGTTTTATTTCCATTTTGTGTTATTCTAGTTATTTTTGATTGTGTCTGAGTTCTTATTTATTTCTTGTTTACCTACTGTTGCCCTCTTGTGTCAATCTCTTTTTCTTAGCTCCCTACTAGATTCTTCTTCCCATACTTGTTCTTTGTCTGCTAATTACCGGTAGTCCTCCCATTGTTTCTGTCTCCCATATATAGCTACTCCTTCTGTTTATACTTACTTTTTGCTGGTTCCTTGTCATTTTTGATCCTCATGTGTGTTTTCCCTGGATTTCAGTATTTTTGTAGACTTTTGCTTCTGTTGCTCCTTTGGACATTAAACTTACAAGAAACCACCTCAGCTTCCATCTCTGCATTTGAGTCCTTCAAACTCAACTTGACACCAGACATTCAAAAGAAAAGATGACCTAATTTACTCTCAAAATGAGATATCCATGATGCATGATGTCAGCAGCGGCTTTGCAAACAAAAGCAGGTAACCACAGGTTTTAAGGTTTGAGTGGAGTACTGAAGAACACCTGCATAAAATGTCATATATTTAGGTTATGGTAGATTATGGTTTCAAACATAGCTTTTGCATATAGTTACATTACTTTTTTCCAACTTTGAATTTCATTTTTTACTTGTTTTTAGGGATTTTTTGTTATTCCATTATTGAATAACATGTTTGATATGTTATTTGATTTATTTATACTGTATCTATACCTGTTTTTCACTTTTTCAATATATTTATCATAGCTATTATGTTGTTCCTCTTGCAAAACAAATTATTTTTTGCATAGTACTGTTGCAGTTGGAACCAGAAAGTATGGAGCACATACATTTATTGCAAATAAACTGCATACTGGTAATTGGATTCAATTTTAATTACACTGGATGGTGCATATAATTATGGGACTGTAAAAATGTATGAATGTTTTGATCATTGATTGCAGCAATAGATTTTACTTGTAGAAATAGAGGGCCCCAACATCAGATTTTGTTTAGGGTTTCTTAGCAGTGATCTTCCTTATAGAGGATGTTGGAGACTGCTGGTTGGACAATTAGCAGCAATAACGCATTTCTGATTTAAAATCTTCTATTAGTTTTTATGTTTCATCACATTTTTGGAGAAACTGAACTATCAAAAAAACAAACATAAATCTATTTAAAAAAATATGTAAATAAATCAATATGTGTGTAAAAACAATCTGTCTATGCTTTACTTTTAACTGAATCCAAGAACTAGACAAATTGATATTGTGATTGATAGAGATAAAACTTTATACTTCATGGCATTTTCTTACAAAGGTGTCAGGAAGGAACCAGGAACAAACGTGGAATAGATCAGGTCTTTTATTTTATCATAATCCAACAATGTAATCAGATTTTTAAAAACACATACATCAGTCACACACTCTTACAAAGGTTATCTGATCTACAATTATCTACAGTTATTGATCATTGCAGAAAAGAGCTGAGAAAAAGAAATGATTCCATCCATCCATCTTCTCAAATAGCCTAAATAAGTAAACATTTACCATGGCAGAGTTAAAACAAAAAATACACAATGTTTTATATTGTTCATTGCTAATATACAGTATTTAGATTTAAAATGATTTATTGTCTTTTTTAAGTGATTATCTCTGATTTTCTCAGGTGAGTTCAACAGTAATCAGTTAATTTGGGTTTTCATGTATACAGTTATCTCTACCTGCTCTGTGGAGCAAAGAAATCTAGCAGAAGTTCTCTGTCCTATAAACCATGCAATAAATGTCATATAACAGCCAACATAACCTGACTGTGCTACCAAAAAGGTTTTCACTGCCGCTTCCATAGCCATTTATTTGCAAACGTATAGGAATATCAAACATTTGTGTCCATTCTCAGAATTTCCCTGTAAATATGGGAAACCTCTGCAACTCAACCCTCAGTTTCAGCCTTTCTGCATATAAGGAAGCGTCATCACAACTTCCTTCAGCACATCAGCAGAAATTTCAGAAGTGAGGGTTTCCTCTTATGACCAGGATGCCATCCTGTGCAAACGCAGTAATACACAAAACAATCCTTGATCACCAAGGAAAGCTGGTCCAACACGTTTCATCTCTCATTCTGTATTTTAAATACAGAATAGAAACAACCTCTTTAGGTAAACCACTGCAGGCATAAATTGGAAGAGAGTGTTATTCAACAAGCAGCAACATTCACCAGTGACTGAACACTGTAATATTCTTTTGACCTGTCAGTCACTCCTTCAATGTCAACAAGCGGGGGGGTGGGGGGGGGGTGTATATATTTCTTAAAGCAACCCAGAACACCTTTCCTAGCTCATGTAGGAAACCTACATTTCATGATAATTTCAAATGTGAAGGGACGGTAGGGGCACACTAGGGTGGTTTCACTGCAACATTTCACAGCTTTAGTTTTGTTCAATCCTGTATTTTATTTAACAATGTCCAGTATGAGCATCAGGGAAGGCAGTGGGCTATGAAGGATGTTGCCCTTAATACACAATACCATCACAGCAGTACAGGAATTGACGACAAAAAGTGAAAATATGTGACCCTCTTTGATAGTGAAAACACAAAGGTATTGCTGGATCTAAAAGATTACAGGTTATTGCATATTTTTGTATTCAATTCCATTAGTTTCATCTTAGATTTACTAGATTTACTTTGCCCCTTTGATTTCCCCTTGTAAGCAAAATGCGGCATACTTTACTTGCAAGAAAACCAGAACCTTCATTTTCAGGCAAACCTGAGTCTGCATGTTTGTTCCTTATTGGATAAGCTTTGACACCTGCCCAAACAAAGTGGACTATACCAGGAAATTAAATCTGGTCACATTCTTATTTCAGGATAACAGTTTTCAAGAGAAATGTAACTTAATGCAAAGGTCTTTTTTTTTCTAAATTAAAAGCCTAATGTTTACCAAGTGAACATTGACAATAGGTTGGCAGAAATTATCTTTATAGTGGACAATTTTCCAACTAGAGTCTCAGACTCAAACGGTCATTCAGAATAATATGGAGTGGAAGAACTAAAGGATTGTCTGTCCTTTAACTTCCTCAGTGACAGAAAATATTACATCTCACGGTCTAAAACTTGATTAAATTGTACTCATATCGTTTGTTTAACATCTCTCATAATTACTATTTATAAACATATACTTCAGACATTTGTAGAAATGCATAAAAAGTGCACTAAGTGTTCTACTACAATTTGATAACATTTCATCCATAAATAGTAAAAAATGCTTGTGAAAAATAACACATCAAGCTATATCGACTCTATAAGGTGTTTGGTAATCATCATCCATCCATCCATCCATCCGTCCATCCATCCATCCATCCATCCATCCATCCATCCATCACTGTCTACCCCAGTTCATCAGTGCAGGGTCCTGCAGGGTTGGTGCTTAGCTCCAGCAGTATAAGGTAACCCGCAGGAAGTTGTTTGTTTTCTCGACCTGCCATCACATTTTCAAGGCGGCTTTTCCTTCTTAGCTATGAGAAACTAGTTTAGGTGACCAAACAGTGTTAATGTGGAAGAAAAACTGAGTGAACATAGGGTGTACATACAAGCAAGCAGCACTCTCATCTCAAATTAAGTTACCATATAAATAGCTATCAAGATCCCCAGTGGGGGAGAAAAGCCTGAGCTTTATGGATCCTGACGTTGTGTCATCTTTCATAAATGTGCAGTTTTTTGCCACAATGAGGACATGAATGATGTGCATCCTGCATACTTCTCATGCACAGTGGAATCAGACAGAACCCGCAGAATAACCTGAAAAGACATTTACAAAATGTTTAGATCCACATGCTGTACTTCAGAAATAATTCTCCTTTACCATGTGCTGCTCTTACCCCAACAATGCAAGAATCACACATGTGCACCACGCAGCCTTCCCAGCCACATATGTGACTTTACTGGTGACCAGCTGTTGGCAGTGAGGACAGAGAACAAAACCAGGAGCGTCTCTCAGACTACTCACTATGATGGGAACTGGCTGAGGCTGGGACACGACCGCTACGGTTGGAGCTCTGCGAGCTGCAGCTGGTCTCTCATCGACTGCCATTTAAAAGGAAAGAAACATGGAGTGAAATGTGCACAGCAAACTAGGAAGCAGGATGGGAAACATATCTGATGGATAAAATCACTACTTTGTGTTAGAGGGTGGACTGTGATTCCAGAGTTTGCAGGAGGTGCAACCAAAATGAATGGCCCAGTGGGTGGAGTCAGGACAGGGAAAGCACTTGGCTGAACTGTTGATAGAAAACAAGAAGACCTTGATTAAGAACTTTGCTTCAAAATTCACAAATTAGAACCAAATTGTAGGATAAGGAAACTGAAACATCTTTAAGGTCGTCTTTCCTGTCCCTCCTGAAGTTAAATATTCCCACTGCATGAAGCTGCCACCGCCGTGTTTCACAGTTTAAATGGTCTGATCAGGATGAAGTGAGTTTGGTGTTTTTTTGTCACACTTAGCACTGAAGATGCAAACCAAGAGGTTGGATGTTGGTCTCATCAAACCTTCTGTGACTTTCTGTCATATATCTGACATATATATCATTACTAACAGCCCTCTGGTCAACATAAACTGCAGATCTCTGCAGCTCCTCCATTATGCCACATTCACAGCTGTGGCATAATGTTTCCCTATTCAAAAAAATTGATTCAAATAGAACAAGGAGGGACATTCACAGTGAGGGGTAACGCAGGTGTGAGTATGTCTCTTTAAATCTTTCCATAACTTTACCCCCAGATGTGTTTCTTTGTCTTCATGATGACTTTTAATCTAAAAAATACCTGACGGATACTTTATAGTCTCATATCTGGGCTCATCTGTTTAGTGTCGCCATGACGTTATTTATGAGAACTTGTCTTACGTGTATTACACCTCTGGGTTTTGTCCCAGCAAGCAGATTCTTTAACACAAACGTCATTCTGTCTACCAGCTTATGCTAAGTTTCACAAATATCCAAAAATGTATCTTTAGGAATGTATTCCTTGAAATTTCTATGCTTTTTCTGCATTTTTCCTCAAATAGGAAATCTTTACACGCAAAGAATCAGCTGCATATTGTAAATTATATATAAAAAGGTGTAAAGAGTTTAAACAGTTTTTTTTTTTAACTAACGCAGACTCATCTCCTGCCAACAGAAACATACCTTGATCTGGGGTTCAAACCAAATGTCCTACCAAGAAATGGGATCCATTCACAGTTATGACTTCACATTAGAAACGGCAGCACCAGTAATCCCTTTTTTGTTAACATTGTTGTTTACCTTTCAGCATAAATTATTATTCAGAATTTTTTATTTTTATTTAAACATTTACTCCCTTTTGAAGTACTTAGAAGCAGTTGTAAATACAACACAGAAATTAATTTAAAGTAACACAATTCTGATGTGATTTAGTAATAATGATAAAAAATGTAATTTGTTAAAAAGTCTTGAAGCTCTTCTTCAGAAAAACTAGTTGCTGTTGAATGAAATGTACTGGCTTCCTGTTTCAGAGCTGTTTTTAAGGCTACGTTTCTACTCTGCTTTTAAAGATGTAACCGACATTGTGATAAATATTTAAATTGCTGCTCTGAAGATGCACGTTTTAGTAACTACTTTTCCATGGCAATCACTATTTTTGTTTTTGTTTTTTAATCCTCTGTCATTTCCCCATCCTGGCATGTTCTCTTGTCTTTTCATCTGGGAAAAATTGGCCTATTTTTTGCTCAAGGAAACAGCATGCTTAAATGGTCAATCATAACTGTAAAAAAAGGCGTTGATTCCATTTATTTTAAGGGAACTTTTAGCTGTGCTGATAAGGGTTCCTGTCAAAACAATAAAAGAAAAAAAAAGTTTAATGGCTTTTTGCAAGAAATCTGTAGCTGAATGTAACCTGATCAAATGTTTATTTTTTCCACAAACTTACAGCATCACATTATGTTACTGCAAAAAAAGCCTTTTAACACATTTATACCCAGAGTCCACTGAGGGCAGGTGTCGTGCCAAACGAGTTATCCCCGACAGAATTTGTATCCCCTGCGTCGGGAGCGCGCATTCAGCTCCGCCTCATTACCAACACATTAGGCGTGAAAATAAAGATATTTTTCACTTGTTAGTGCTATCGTAAGGGATTCTGCTTAAAACTAGACTAATCACTAAGTATAACACGTTCTGAGAAAGCAAACGGCTCTGTGGTATTCTCCAGATGTGTAACGAAAATATAAGGTTTATGTTATTCGATTGTCGCATGACTGTCGCATGTCTGTCTGTTGAAAATAAAAATCGACCTTTCTGAGTCCATCACAGCTGTCTACTTTTTCGTTGTTATTTTTGTGTGTGGATAGAACCGCATGAATGTATTATATAAAGCTAATTTCAAGTTTGAATAAATGAATAGTGAAGAAAGTTACTGCCAAAATGATCAGATCTAATGAGATTTTAATTCAGCCAAGAACCATATGAAGAACACAAGATGTGTCACTTAAAAAAATAACAATATATGAGGAGTTTTTAAAAAACTACTTTATTGCAATTTTATTAGAATAAGATGTTAAAAAATATTTGGACTTCACATTAAAAGTTTTATTGTTTTCAAGCACTGCAGCCCATTGTTATAAATGCTGACCAGATGGTGTGTCAAAAAGTTTCCTCTCTAAGGAAACCCAGCAGGTTTCAAGTCTCTCTAAGCAGCATTCTCTCCTCCTGAAAGATTGTAGAACCACAGTGGATAGATGTCTGCATTTTTGATGTCTTAGCAGCAATCACTCATATTGAGCATGCATGAAGTGACAGTGGTTTCATATTCATAAGTTACACTGCTATCCTTAGGTTGGGAGAATTGATCTTTGCATATCTTACTGGGTTTTTGAGGCACTATTGGCTCATTTTTTTAAAGTAGGCTGACAGGAAAGGGGTTATGAGACGGAGGAAGAAATGCGGTAAAGGACCTTAGGCTGAGGACTAGGGCCTCTGTATGTAGCACCTGCTGAAAATTTGAAGCTGTTGGCTCTTTCAATGTAAAAGTTACAGGGGGATACAAAAAATATCAGTATCAGCCTGCCAAAATATGTATCCCCTTCTAAAATGGACTAAGAGTATCCCACATTCTAGATTTTTGGCACATAAACACATCTTATAATCACCAACAACTGTAGGAATTTTGAAGCTGTTGGCTCTTTCAATGTAAAAGTTACAGGGGGATACAAAAAATATCAGTATCAGCCTGCCAAAATATGTATCCCCTTCTAAAATGGACTAAGAGTATCCCACATTCTAGATTTTTGGCACATAAACACATCTTATAATCACCAACAACTGTAGGAATTTTGAAGCTGTTGGCTCTTTCAATGTAAAAGTTACAGGGGGATACAAAAAATATCAGTATCAGCCTGCCAAAATATGTATCCCCTTCTAAAATGAACTGAGAGTATCCCACATTCTAGATTTTTGGCACATAAACACCTCTTATAATCACCAACAACTGTAGGAAATTTGAAGCTGTTGGCTCTTTCAATGTAAAAGTTACAGGGGGATACAAAAAATATCAGTATCAGCCTGCCAGATCTGCATGAAAGAAAATTTTTAGTAGTTCTGACTATTCTGTATATAGTTTATATGAATAAATAAACATTACAGTTGTTGAAAGTTTGAAAGGTTTTTGGCATTTCATATAGATGCAGTTGAAAAACACATGCAGTTTAACCACTCTCTGTGCTCTGTAAAAGGATGACACATTTTTGGCAGGCCGATACTGATATTTTTTGTATCCCCCCGTAACTTTTACATTGAAAGAGCCAACAGCTTCAAAATTCCTACAGTTGTTGGTGATTATAAGAGGTGTTTATGTGCCAAAAATCTAGAATGTGGGATACTCTCAGTTCATTTTAGAAGGGGATACATATTTTGGCAGGCTGATACTGATATTTTTTGTATCCCCCTGTAACTTTTACATTGAAAGAGCCAACAGCTTCAAATTTTCAGCAGGTGCTACATACAGAGGCCCTAGTCCTCAGCCTAAGGTCCTTTACCGCATTTCTTCCTCCGTCTCATAACCCCTTTCCTGTCAGCCTACTTTAAAAAAATGAGCCAATAGTGCCTCAAAAACCCAGTAAGATATGCAAAGATCAATTCTCCCAACCTAAGGATAGCAGTGTAACTTATGAATATGAAACCACTGTCACTTCATGCATGCTCAATATGAGTGATTGCTGCTAAGACATCAAAAATGCAGACATCTATCCACTGTGGTTCTACAATCTTTCAGGAGGAGAGAATGCTGCTTAGAGAGACTTGAAACCTGCTGGGTTTCCTTAGAGAGGAAACTTTTTGACACACCATCTGGTCAGCATTTATAACAATGGGCTGCAGTGCTTGAAAACAATAAAACTTTTAATGTGAAGTCCAAATATTTTTTAACATCTTATTCTAATAAAATTGCAATAAAGTAGTTTTTTAAAAACTCCTCATATATTGTTATTTTTTTAAGTGACACATCTTGTGTTCTTCATATGGTTCTTGGCTGAATTAAAATCTCATTAGATCTGATCATTTTGGCAGTAACTTTCTTCACTATTCATTTATTCAAACTTGAAATTAGCTTTATATAATACATTCATGCGGTTCTATCCACACACAAAAATAACAACGAAAAAGTAGACAGCTGTGATGGACTCAGAAAGGTCGATTTTTATTTTCAACAGACAGACATGCGACAGTCATGCGACAATCGAATAACATAAACCTTATATTTTCGTTACACATCTGGAGAATACCACAGAGCCGTTTGCTTTCTCAGAACGTGTTATACTTAGTGATTAGTCTAGTTTTAAGCAGAATCCCTTACGATAGCACTAACAAGTGAAAAATATCTTTATTTCCACGCCTAATGTGTTGGTAATGAGGCGGAGCTGAATGCGCGCTCCCGACGCAGGGGATACAAATTCTGTCGGGGATAACTCGTTTGGCACGACACCTGATATATCAAAGGTTTGCGTGTGTTAAAACGTGAGCTATTTCACTGCGCACGCTAAAAAATGTACAAACTGATCTATCAACAGCGTGCTAAAAGCATTTGGTCTTTAAAACGTGCTAAATAGCGCCTCTGATCCATTTAGTACTTTTTCTGCAATGACTATGCAATATGGGGCGTTTACACGCTAAAGTGCGTCTTGTGGGAGGAGAACATGTAAATATATTAATTTAGCACTCGCAAAGGGATTTATCAAACCTGAACGCAATTTTGCTAACGGTATCTGACTCTATATTTAACACGTTTCAAAAGAAGGTGCAAATGGTCTGTATGCGTAATTGCGCACACATGGCAGCGGTTATTGTCGCAAGAAGGAGACATGGAAATAAAGCAAGGAGACGCAGAGAACGCATTTTTTCACTCCGTGTGAATATTTTTGCAATGAACGAGGAAACGATCATCAAAACATATAGTTTATCCAGCATTGCCATTTTGGAGCTGTTGGGGGAACTCCGAATGGATTTGGAGCCAGCCACAAGGAGGACCCACGCAATACCAGATATCACAAAACTCCTTGCAACATTGCACTTTTTTGCATCTGGGTCATTCCAGCGTACGGTTGCAGCGAGAGCTGGGATCTCCCAATCTCGTTTTTTCAAAAGTGCTGTCCGACGGGGTCGGGGTTCTTCCCCTGCGCCTGTGGAGCAACGTGCCAAATGCTGCGGGGATCTCATCCACAGTCACAGGCCAATACAAAACACCGGTTTTTTTTTTGGTTTTTTTTTTTACTGCAGCACATACCACCTTAGGGAATAAAGGTTGCCAATTTATAAATATATAAATATATATATATATATATATATATATATATATATATATATATATATATATATATATATATATATATTTACTTTTTTTTTTTTTGTTGGGGGTCACTGTAAGATTTAAATTTCTTAATGCACTAGTCTGTACAGACTACAAACTACTTTGCAAACCACAAAACGCGCAGAACCATCATTTAAATAGGGCGTCTCCAACAGTTTTGCACCTTCCACCAGTTACGCAATCACTCTTGTTAAATCACCCGCAAACCATGGTTCAGCCCCTCGCACAAAATTCCAGTTTGCGAGCGCAAATTACTGCACGCAAAATTGGATCTTGATAAATCCGGCCCTGAGTGTGTAGGCTGCCATATACATCATTGAAAACGCCTTATCCTTACTTTCTGTGCATGTCTAAATTAGTGGTGTTTGGAATCCTGGCACCATTTTAGTCACTCAATAAATGTGTGCAGGCAGAGAAATCTCTTCTTAAAAAAATTAAAAATAAATCGGTTAGTTTTTTTCCTTGTTCCAGCATGAGTCTGGTTTCCACATTGAGCCTAACTTCAGACAAACATCACAAACATCCAGCATCTTTTACTCAAAATCAGTTCAAGTGTACATCCCCTCTCCCATTGGTGAATATAACAGTAGCTTTCCGAGAAAAAGAGACCCATTAAGTGATGTTGTTGCTGAGGTTACATAAAAGTAAACATCTGAGGGCCGGATCTATCAAAGGTTTGCGTGTATTAAAACGTGAGCTATTTCACTGCGCACGCTAAAAAATGTACAAACTGATATATCAACAGCGTGCTAAAAGGATTTGGTCTTTTGCACGCAAAATTGGATCTTGATAAATCCGGCCCTTAGAGCCCAAAAGAGAAAATAAACCAAAGAAGTTATTAGTAATAGTAATCCTATCTAAATTGATTGAGACCTTTTTTAAATATTAGGATCAGCAATTATTCAAGGATAGTTTTTCTACAGAAATCAAATTATTTTGTTCCTTTCCACAAAATCTTCCCTGTTAAGTTTATTATTGAGTAATTTAAAACACGAGATGCACAAGATATTAAACTGTATTAAATTACAAAAAAAACAACCACATTGCTTTGAACTGGGCCAACAATGCAACATTTTTGGACACTGTTTATCATACCATAACAAATTTATTTATAAAGCACTTTCAACACCCAACAGGAACACAGTGCTATACACAATCATAAGAAAGAAAATATAATTGGTATATAAAAGTAGTAATAACATAAAAAGCAATGATAAAATAATAAAAGAAACACAGCAAGAAAAAGTCAACATCTCAGATTGAGAAGAGTTTTAAAATCAGAAAGTGAAGAGGCCTGTCTAACGGCCAAGGGAAAGTCATTCCACACCTTCTGTTGCACAGCTGCAATAGAAAAGGCACGGTCTCCTCTGAGAGTGCGTTTTGTCTTTGGCACCTTCAGTAACAACTGGTCAGCTGATCTGAGGGAGCGAGAGGGTGTGTAGGGATGAAGCATCTCAGACAGGCAGGGCGGGGAAAGACCATTAAGAGCTTTAAAGCAAATAAAAGGATTTTAAAATCAATCCTAAATATACTGGATATGAGACTATAAGGCTAAAATAGGGGAAATGTGATCAAATAGGCCTGTACCTGTTAAAAGACATGCAGAAACACTCTGAAGTTGGGAAATGCACAAATTACTGATACCCTTATAAAGTGCATTACAGTAATCCAGCTGAGTGGTTACAAAGACATGCATTGCTGTTTCAAAATGTTGACGTGACAAGAAAGATTTAACCATTACTAGGTGCCTCAAGTGAAAAGCTGGATTTTACAACAGCTCTAATGAGAGATTCAAACTTCACACTAGCATCTCTTTTAACCCCTACATTTGTAATAATAGGCTTGATTTACTGGGCCAAAGATCCATTATCAGTCAGGGAGTGTTCGCTGGAACTACCAAAAATCCCCACCTCCAGGATTTCAAGTCTTCCAAACATAAAAGCAGCGACCGAAGAGAAGTGGAGTCGGTTTTTAAATGACATAAAGCGGCAAAGACAAGATAAATACATCAATTCTTCCTTAGCTGGTATTTGTGTGGGAGAGTGACTCACTGCTGAAGCAGCTTCATACCAGCCTGGAATGTGCAGAACATTTTAAAGCACATTAAAGTCAGAAGCAACAGTGTTTTTTGTTTGTTTTGGGTTTTTTTTTTTTCTGGTCCTTTAGCCAAAAATTTGAAGAACAGAAAAGATGCTAACTGTAAATTACTGTGAATACAAAAATGTTGTAAATCAGTTTACGCCATCATTAAATGTATACAGTTTGAGTTTTTTTTTGTTTTGTTTTTTTAAAGCATTGAGCTTTTTCCAGGCTGCAACTTCATGAGAAGACAATTAATATTCAACTTAAACTGGACATATTTGAATAAAACAAATGCCCTCAAAACTTAATTTCTAAAATACTGTAGAAAGAAGGAAAGGAAATAAGATCCATTTAGGGACAACATAATATTAAAATGTGAGTGTAGACATCTTACCAGCCTCTCCATAGGTTGGAGGAGGTGTCGAAGGGGACGGGCCAGGAGTGTAGGCAGGAGGAGACGGGTGGTCAGAAAGTCCTGCTGTCTGAACAGAAAGGTGGCGATTGGCCTCGTCGTATGAAGGTGGTTCCATCAGCGAATCATCCAGTCAAGGTTGGTGCTTAAAAAGACCAAAAGAAAGAAAGGCTGAAAATGCATCAATGATATGTTTTGGTGTTGCTTTTAAATTATTGCAATTATTGTATTTTAATGTATTTTCCCATTAAAATATTTAATTTGTGTGTAAAAAAAAAAACTACTTAAAACAAATATTCTCAATTTCTGAATGAAAGTGAACAGAAAAAAATAATCTTATTCTACATATATCCTCTTCACCTAAAGCTATATAAACTTACAAAGGACTTGTTGATATAAAAAATAATTTAACACATTGAGCTTCATTACATGTAGTTCAATCACCTTATAGGGCACCCAAGTTAAATATATAATGGTCTGTTATAGGATTACAGTGGTGGACTAAAAGCAGATTAAAGTATAATCAGTCGAACCTTAGAGATAAAATTTGTTTGAGATAATCTGCAGAGCTCAACATTTTATTTTTAAGTAACAGAAATAGGATCCTAAATCTTTTTTCCCCTCTGCCTGAAAATATATTAATCATCAAGAATTTAATAACAAAAAAAAGTCCACTTAAAAAAGACCTTTGCAAATGGTTATTTTTGGTTGTTTTAATTTTTATAAAAGAAAATGTCTTTGCCAAGATTTATGAACAGGAATTGGCTTAGCATTTCCATTTTTAGTAGAGAAATCAAACAAGGAGGGGTTGGGTGTCTTTTTACAAAAACCTTACAATGAAAGCAAAAAACTGTCATGTTTAGTTTCAAAATGACCAAATGTTAATGAAACCAGAGGGGAAGAGGAGAGAAGAAAGCCAAAATCTTACAACTTGGCATAAGCAGAGCGAGGCATGGATCAAGAGGAACAGGTAGAGAACAGAGATGACTGGGGCTGAAATACTGAGGTGAGGGAAAAATATGAGAAAGAAATCACATGAGCTACTCAGAGGAAACAAGTTTCAGCTGAGGCAGAGAAGATGGCGGGAGGAGACTAAATAAACACAAATAGAGCTGAAGGCTATGTCACTAAACTTGCAACCAAAGCACAAAGAAATTAGCTAATAAGGCAACAATTTACAAATGATAATGAACGCTGAAAATATGGCAAGAATAGGAGATAACTTAACAAAATGAGAACAAAAAAACAAAAGAATCACAAAAAAATGCTATTAAAATCAGTCTCAAGAAAAAAAAAAAATTATCTTCTCTAAAACCAGGCTGTGACTCCAAGCATGATCTCTCCCCACCCAATTGAATGCCTAAATAAGGTCATTTAGAGGGCCGCAAAAGGCTCCCATGCCACATGTTGGAGCTATCTACCATCAGAGAGGGCGATGAATCAAAAATAGTATGAAAGCCATCACTACACACCCAGAGGGGAGGGGGGCAAAATGACCAGCACCCTTTGTGGATACAACATAGGGTTAATCCTTGAGTTTAGTTTTTTTTTTTATATATGTTTTCGGTGATTCATGGTTTAGAGTGGAGCTGAAGAAAAATGTCCTTTAAAACTGGGCAGAACGATGTAGAAAGCAAAAATATTTTGGAAAAAAAAAGCATCAGAATGTGTGGAAACATCATTCCAGAAGGTTACTTGAAGCGTTGGATGTCCAGAAGCACGACATGAAGGAATGAAAGAGAAGAATCCAAACAACTGAATTGAACATTGACAAACACCTTTATCTCCTTTTATGTTGCATGCTGTAATGTTCTTTTCCTCCTGTGGAAACATTGCTTTGTTCAACCAAGGCTCAATTGCTGCTTTAATCAGAACAGAATGCCAGTCTGTTCAATCTGACTGAGGATGTTAAGAAAAAATAAGTCTGCTCTAAACAGTGTGAGCTTAATCTGCCGTTTGGGCTTCAACAAATCAGACTGAATGCTGCATCTGAGTGTGTAGCTCTGATTGAGCAGTAGAGGCACCATCTCTTCCCCCAGGCTGTTAAACAATGAGAGGGTGTGTTTTCCACATCCAGTTTATATCTCAGTTCACCCAGCAAGAGCCAAGCAGAATAAAAGTGACACAAACAGCATATAAACATAAAAACTATGACTGTACTGTATTATTTCTTTAAAATAAAACACAAAAACAAAAGCCAAAAATCAATTTAAGCAGCTTTGTGAGGTCACTTCACACTAGGATTGATTTACAAACATTGATACTTCCTTCTAGTTGAACTGGTTTGGAGAGACATGTTTAAAAACTACATGTTCAAATAAATAAAGAATAAAGCCATAGGAAGGAAAACAAGTTAACAGAAACCACACTGATGTTTTTTAAACCTACAGATTTAAGCCTATTTCTGGATGCAGCCAAATGACTCAAGCTCACATGGGGCTTTGTTCTTACGTAGACGAGACACATCCAAGCTCTGTTCACTGATCTAATCTTAACTATCCTTCACAAAATCCACCCGAGCAGTGGGTCCAAACCCACTCACAGCCACAGGATTTGGATCCAGGGTTAAAATAAAACAGAGGAGCAGGATATTTAAAAGCAGTGGACTTACCTCTGACAAAGGAGTAACTGGTAACATGGCTGGTAGAAGGCAATGTGTACCATGTTGATAAGAGTTGTGACATCAGAGCCTGTTCAACCTGTTTTCCTTCAGGAATTAGAAACATTTTTACTTGTCACACAATGAAACCAGCCCTCCTGGTTTCCCTCTGGGCGGAGCGGCCAGCTCACCTGCTCGCTCTATATATAGAGACATGAGGAAAACACAGCTAGATCTCTGTCAATAAAGCTGGGACTTTCTTTAATTTCATTTAAAAAGATACAAACCTAACATTTTTATCTTCTTTTAGTTAAGGTTTGTTGTGTTTCAGCCTGTGAAGCAAGTAGAAACTAGATAAGTAATTTCAGAAATAATTGGTTGAATCTAACAAAAAGATATTTTTTTAAACATGTAACAGAAAATTCTATAAACCTAAATCCTCAGATACTTTCCCTAAGTTAGGACCAGAGGTGCCAAGTAACAAATATCTAATAAAAACACCTTACTTAAGTAGAAATTTTGGCTATCTACTGTATACTCATACATTTTTTTTTTTTTACTTTTTACTTCTACTCCTTACATAAAAATAGACTTGTTAGGTTTTGTTTTTTTATTCAAGCTAATTTTCATTATGGCCTGTTGGTATTTAAAAAAACAAAAAAACATAACAATAATTAATTTTAAGCATACAATTTCTTCTTTTCTTTTCTTTAAATTTCTTTGTGGTTGGTGCTGCGTCAATTTGTTGTTAACCACATTATGCTAAGTTAAATTTGACACTGTTTCCATTAGTTATAAAACAAATAAAATGAAGTATAAGGAAGTTAGCATCCAGAATGTAGGAAAAAATTATTTAAGGTAGTGCAGTGAAGAATCTGTCCTTGACATTTTTCCCAGCATTACTTTTATACTACAAGTAGTTTTAAAAATGGCAGTTTTACACTTTTACTTGAGTAAAAACCAGAAGATGATACTCTAACTTCTACAAAAGATTTTTATTTCTACATGAGTAATAAACATTAATACTTTTGACACCTCTGCTTAGGACTATTTGTTTTTTTCTTATAATGTTTTGGATCTTTTTTATTTTTTTGCTCGGAAAATGATACCTAGAGATTAGAAAATAGATTAGTGAATATCCTTTACTGGATCCAATTCAGGCGTACCAGCAGCAGCATGACTGGCAAGTTGAAGCATGCAGATTTACTCCAAGGTGAAAATCCCACGGAAGTAAATAAGGGAAAATATACAGCATAAGAAAAAAAAACAAAATAAAATACTGTGCAGTTAAAATAAATAGCAAAGTCAGATTCAAAGAAACATGCAACTGAGTAGGAAACTGTTTACCCTGTAACATTTTATCTGTCAGACAGACTGAGATGATTAACTCTCTTCAATGTGTTGAAGGGAAGATTGTGATCATGGAAAAATAAATTGCAGTTGAGTTGTGACTCATGGACATGACACAGAACCTGAGAGATGCATCATCCTACAGCTGATCATCCACTGAATGCAAAGCTTTCAGAAAAACACCTCAGAGGATCCTTCCTGTCTGTCAGTCTGTGTTAACTTTGGTGTTTTGAAAAACCATGACAGGCGGCCTTTAAAATGGATGCTTTTCTGAAATTAAAGTGTCTTTTGCTTCTATTACAAGCACAGCTACAAGTCTTTTTAGCTTATGTACCTACCAGTTTGCATTCAGACTGATATTTCTTCCCATTCCTCTTTGCAAAATGTTTTTAGCTTAGTGTGATTGTTAAAGTTTGTGAACAAATGTTTTTAATTGTTCGACTGGACTTAAGCCAGGACTTTAACTAGGCCATTACAGCACATGGATCTGCTTTAATCAAACCATTCCATTATCGCTCTGGCTGTGTTTAGAGTTGTTATCCTGCAGGAAGGTGAACCTCTACTGTCTCATGTCTTTTCAACACATCAACTCTAAACTTCTTCCCTGATGTTGCTGGTGGTACCATCATTTATCCCCATAAATGATGGCACTAACACTGAGCTTTAGTGGGGAGTGTAGGGAAATAGGTAGTGTTGATTTCCATTCACATCCAGAATGTATTGTGTCCCCTGTATGGTTTGTACTAACTGTGAATCTGGCTTATCATTGTTTGTTTCTTTCAGCAATGAGTTTATTTTCGCCATTCTTAAAGACCACATTTTTACAGGGTGGATGATTGTCTGATGTTCTCCTGGTGACTCACCTTCCATCTGAGCTGTCCTCAGCTCATAATCCTGGAGGTCCTCCAGGATTATTTGGCTTGATCTTGGTGTCTTTCATGCCTCCACATTTAGGTTGACAAACTAGTTTCGGTATGTTTGCAGTTTTTCCATAATTTTTTCAATACTGATGATCGATTGAACAGAGCTCTGATTGATGTCCAAAACTTGTGATGTTGATTTTTTTTTATTTAACTTTATTGATCTCACACTGAAGAAATTCACCTCTGCATTACCAGGTGTCTTAAACCGGTTCCAGAAAGGGCCGTGTGGCTGCAGGTTTTCTTTCCAACCAAGCAATCTGAACATGATGACTTGTCCCTTTCTGGAACCTGTTTGAGACCCCTGAAACCCATCCCCTTTGGGAGCAGTGTGGTGTTAAAGGTGTTGCTTGGGGACCCCAATTGGCAGTCTGTAGGAGTTGAACTCAGAACCTCCATGACCCAAGAGCAAAACTCTAACCACCATGCCACCAATCCCTTAAAGACTGACGTTCCTGGTTGGGTGTGATGTGAATATTTAAGCTTTGAGATCAGGTCTTAACTCTTTAATATTTAAACCAATCCAATACTTTTTACATCTATCTGCTGTATTCCTTGAGGTTTGTGACACCAATCTCTCTTTCCTTTAAAAAAATGTTTTCCTTCCCCTCAAGTATTTAGATTAAACGTTTACTTTTAAATTCCAAGAAAACCAGAGTAGGGGTTTGCACAATAATTTACAGTAAAGAGGCAGCGATTTATAAGTTGTTTTTTATTATGAAAACTGAAAGAAGATTGCTTGATCTTAATTGTTGTTTAGAATGATTACAGCTCGTCTTTGGACGTTTTGTTTCCAGGAACCTCTGAAGACTCGTCTACTTCCTGAACAGAAAAAATAACAGGAAAGGAAAAGCTTTGATAGCAGCTTTAAAAACGAGTTCAACGAAAAACAGGTGATAAGATATGAGCAAACCTTGCTCTGGTCACCAGTTTTTTCCTCTTCTTTACTATCTGAACCCTCTTCAGCATCCTCTTCTTCGTCATCATCATCATCATCATCATCATCCTCACCACTTTCCTCCTCTGGCAAAACTCCTCCATTGTCTAAGAACTTGGACAATGTTTCAAGATCCCTTTTTCCGGTGTAGTCAACAATCTAAAGGGAGAAGAAAATGTCAAGGTTTACTAGTTATTTTCCATGCATTGCTGCATTGAGGTTGGTGTTTGTACCTCTTTATCTTCAGCTGGGAAATATTTGATGGCTGGATATCCAGAAATGTCAAGGAACTCCACTTCATTGACTGTGGCGTCCATCTTTGCTATGATGATATTTTCATGATCTGCATATTTCTCTCCCAATTGGTCCCAAATAGGAGCCAGCTCCTTGCAGTGTGCACACCATGGAGCATCTACACAACACAGAAATTACATGTTAAGTATGATACCAAGTGTTTAAAATATTTAAGTCACTTCAACCATTTCTGTGAAAAATGTCATTTGCACACTGAAGAAAAAAAACTTTTTTTAAAGCAAGAGCTGAATAACCCTTCAGTATGAGATGGCCAGACTGCTTTCGAGAAGGATAGTTTTAAGGAATTTATACTCTGGAGGAGGTCTGGATCGGAGTCCCTGCTTCTCTTCACAGAAAGTACTCATCTCATATAGCTTAAAATTATAACAGTAAGAAGATGAGAAATACCATTGTTTATTTCAGAAATATCTGAATTGCAAGCAGGTAAAAAAAGGGGTTTTGTGTGTCAAAGAAACATAAACTAATAAAAGAAATGGATGGATGGATGGATGGATGGATGGATGGATGGATGGATGGATGGATGGATGGATGGATGGATGGATGGATGGATGGATGGATGGATGGATGGATGGATGGAAATTGTAAATCAACAGCTAACAACTACGTCAAAAATATCTATCAAATAAACAGCAAGAATGTAACAAATATGCATAGATTGCTGGAGCACCACCTGGTGGTTGTCAATGATACTGCAACATGAATACACCTCTCTGTTGCTCTCGTGCGACACCCAGTGGTTTTCTAGTGAACACTTTCACAGTTTAGTAAACTGTTTATTTTCTAAAGTTAAAAAATGTATAAAAAAATATAAACATGAATGTATGAAAAATAAAATTTGCAGCAAGAGGAAAATAAAATGAAATAAAATGTTGATTTAAAGATAGTACATCATAAAATAAAACATCAACTTCAAAAAGTTTAAATTAAAATAACATAATGATATCTGATATAAAGTTATAAAGTAAATATGTTATTTAATTTAAATTTAATTTAAATAAATATTTGCTTTCAAAATGTATGCCTGTATTTCCCTGTTTTCATTCATTCTAGTTTTATTTATGTGTTTTACTCTTCAGACATTTATTGTCTGATACTTTCTGTGAGTACATCAGTTTTGGCATGCAAAGAGTGGCTTATAAATGTGTGACATTAAAAAAACTGACTTTGACTGGCTGAATGATTGTAAGTGGATTAAACTTTGCTTTTTTTCCGCCCAGTCTCAATTTAAAATTAAGAATACAGCAACAGAGAATACAGCTTTCTCAGTAATTTTAAGGTTGTTTTATATTTTTACCTTTTTTGAACAAAAATAATGTACATAACAATGTCGAAGCATAAAAGAGAAAAGCAGATTTGGTGCAGAGGGACTTACAAAACTCAACAAAGACGTTTTTGGTTGGATCTAGGGCCACAGATTTGAAATTCTTGCCCACAAGAACTTTAACTGGTCCTTTGTCCCAGTCCTCTGGGATTTCCTCAGAACGATAGTAAGGCTGCAGAGCATTGCAGGAAGAGGTTTTGGGTTATTATTGATAAATCACTGTATGGGATAGGTGGCTGAGTGGCTGTTTTACCTTTGCAGCTCCTTCAACCACTTCCTTACACAGCTGCCGTAGCGAATCTGCTGTAAAACCTGCAGAGGAGATGCTGAACTTCTTTTGTGTTTCCATGTTCATGATCCTGACTGTGGGAGCATCCTTTTCTGATACTCCAAAGTAATTAAGCACATGTGACATGGCCTGAGTCACATTAATCAGAATGAACAGCATCTAGATGAAACAAACAGAAAGTGGTGTTGGTGTTACTCCATAAAGATCCATGGTTTCTGTTAAGAGCATACTCATTTGTCTCAAGTAAGAATTTGTGTTTCAAGTTGGATGCAAGCCAGTTCATGCCTGTGGAAGACAATTAAATCAATACACTGACAGGCCCAGGTTTTACCTTGCCCTTAAACTCTTTTGCGACAGGTTTGGCCTCCTCCACCAACTCCATCTGACTCGTTACTGTGGAGTTGATGAACAGCAGGGTGTGTAAGCGGATACGGGAGGTAAAGATCTTGTCTGCTACCTGAAAAAACAGCAGCATTCATTTTATTGTAGATATAAATTTGTAATTCCAATAATGTTGAAGAGCCAGCATGCTTTACCTCTGGGCTAAATGGGATAATGAGCTGCAGGCTGTTTTCCTTGATGAAGGAGGTCAGGTTGTGTGTGTCTAGTTTCTCTTCTTCTGACCACACATAGTCTTCTCGGCCATCGTCAAACTAGCAGAAGCAAAAGAGTCTTTTTTACCAATTTAATCTGATCTGATAAGAACTGATTTAAGCTAAAAATAAAAGACAAATTACTGTTGAATTTTCAATGAAGAATCAAAAACCTGTTTTTATATCTTAATCCAGTAAAAATGACACTAGTTACAGTTATTGATCTGTATTTTCTGTTTATTGTAGTCTTTAGTTTGTTAAGTCTCTTCAGTGTTGTAAACTAAATAAAAAAATTGTTATTCATCGTGGGTATTTTACAATCAGTTTTTCTTAGGTTGTCAATGTCTTTTCAATAATAATTTTAAAAGTCACCTTTATTACACCATAAACAGCCTTCTTAAAATGCAAAAGAGCTCTAGCCTATACGGAGCCTACATATCCTCTAAAACTGTAACGGCAACCTGTTACTTTAAATTAGAAATGAATCATGGAGTGAGCATTCCCAATTCATCCAGATCCTCACTGCAAAAACGTTTTTCAAAATGTATAAAGGAGGTGATAGATCAGGCTGACACTGAAAATCAGATGTGGCATTGGTAAATCCAACATCGTAAAATAATATGGGAAATCAGAGATTGTGATTGAAAAGAAAAACACTTTCAGTAAGAAAAGTGTAACTGGAACAGAAACTGCATTCCATGGCCTTGGTGTGCAAATGCCATTCAAATACAATGAATGTGAATGAATGAATGAATGAATGAATGAATGAATGAATGAATGAATGAATGAATGAATGAATGAATGAATGATTATGCAGTAACTCAAAAAGAGGTGTAACTACTAAAAAGTTAGGCTTGCAAAGACGAAAACAGGCTAAAATCTAAACACATGTAAAAGGAGATAATGCACATAGCAAAAAGAGCTTCAAGTAATAAAAAAAAACTTTTTTAAATAAACAACATATTATATAATCAGCATTTTGACTTCTCATATAACCCGCAACCATGTAGGACTTGGAAAATTGACTTTTTAAAAGCCAAATAGCATATAGTTCTTTGATAACTGTTGAAGGACTTGTAGGGATTGGGTGATGCAATATAGTCGGCATATTTGGAATAATGTTTTGAGGGCCACAGTGCTGTAATGAGGGTAGACGGTCAGTAAAATTATGTGGAAGCTGTTTTCATTCACCACAATGTTTTACACAACCACTGCACAGCTGGGAAGCATAAAAGTTATGGTCGAGAAATGGACGGCTTCTCCACCATAACTTTAATGGACGGTTTGCACATCAGAAATCTTCGCCTCATCATCAAAGCTGAAGACTTTGTCATCATACTTCTGTGTGAAGGTCATTTTTGTTTGGTAAGTTATCTATTTATTGTCCTGAATTGGTTTATTTAAATTACTGTTTGATGGACAGATGTCACGTAGTGCTTCACGGGGAGGAAATATCTGGCAACTTACACAGCAATGATCGATTTCCATTAACAACTTTTTTTCTTCTTGTGGTTGTGACAACCACTCCAGTCCACTAGTTGACCTTGCTTGTTTTTCTTTTCTTTTAACAAGGAGCAAAGAGGAGAATTTGGCTGGGGGGCTCGTCCGGGATTAAAGGGATTTATTAAAGTGCTACTGGCTAATTCCACTGTCGAAGAGAGCTAGGAAAGTGGCTTATTTTATTATTTTTATTACCTCTAGTCATTTTTTTTTTTTACAATTTTCGAATTTTTGGTTTGTGAAACACACGTGGGATTTTTCAGCATCTTTTGGATATGGTTGTCTCTGGGTTGGAGGGTTGTGCTGTCTACTTAGATGACATTTTTATATTTAGTAATACATGGACAGAACATCTGGCATAAATTAGGAAGTTGTTTGATCATCCAGATGAAGCATACCTGACTATTTAACAGGTTTACTAAAATGAAAAGCGAAGTACATGTTAAGTCCGTTTACTACTCCCCTCCTGTCCATGATGCTCCAAACTTGGATCGTCCTTTATAAAACTGCATGCAGATCCAAGTAATGTTGGAGCAGGTCAGGTGTTGTTATAGAAAGATGATTGTGATTTTGACCGACCAGAGCTTTTACACTGTAAACTTAAACCAGTTTCCGTTGAACTATCCTTTTATCGAGAAAGAGACACTTTCACGCTTTGGACTTTTTGAGACGTATTTGTATACTGGCTGCGTTCCTCTGTTGGTGTATATGGACCACAGTCCAATTACTTTTTTTTGCATATATTGCATAGTCTAAATTGCAGATTAATGCACTGGATTTTGTTCTTTCAATCTTAATGTTGGGAGATTTGATATATTACAGTAAATGCTCAGATAGTATTGTAGCAGATGTGCTATCTAAAATGCCCTGTTCTAAGGCTAGCTCTGCCATTGTTGGAGTTTGCTGAGCTGCAAGGTGACTGGAGAGGCCTTGTGGCAAGGTAAAAAATGTTTAAAATGTTGTTTTGTCTGAGTTAGGTGAGTGTTGTACTGAGTTATAGAGAGGGATTCCATTTTTAGGCAGTTTTCTGTCATATCCTAATAGTTGGTTTGTGACACTGTTTTCTAAACAGTTTACTGTTGAGCTCAAGGGGATGTAGAACGTAGAACTAATGTAGAATCTGTATTGCTTTATATTTCCATATAAAAAAAGGATTGTATGGATATATTTAAGTTGTTAACACCAATATGGTTCGCTTGCAGCAGATGACAGCTGAGTCAGTGTTCACTCGTACCTTTTTAAAGAGCACCACTGAATCCGATTTCACATCGTACTTGTTAAACACTTCAGGGTTTGCAGTAACTCCGAACTCAACGTCTGTCAAATCAAAGGTAACTTCCTCAAAAACCTTGGCAGATTCACTTTCCAAACTCTGGATAAAGGAACAAGACGAAAAAGCACAGATATGACACATATGCATACCTTATATGTGAATACTAAGATTTCTGAGTAGGATTTATACACTTGAAAAACTTACACTGAAGAATCCTACAACAGAGATGTTGTGGGTGCTGATGAACTCTGCTGCAGAATCAACAGAGTCAAGATTGGGAGCGCCAGGACCGGTGCGGCGCTTCATCCACTGAATTATTCCCACTACTGATCTTTTACCTAGAAATCAGAGAGACACAAGAGAAACAGCATAATAATCACTTTCAATTGCATTCAGATACATTATGTTGGTTATTTTTGTTGATTAATAAATAACCTACTTAAAACAAAGAAAAATTCCCCTTTTCAGTTTATTTTCTCACAATAATTTGTAGTATAACACTGACGTTAAATATTTTCAATTACATTTATCTTAAAAACCAGCATAGTTTTTGTCTGATTTTTAATTTTTGCTTCTACTTGCTTTTCTTCTTCTATAGTTCGAGATTTTAAAATGTAACACATTTCAAATTGTTATTTTTGATTACTACTGTACTACTATTATATTATGAGTAGAGGTTTGTCATGAGCATACCTCTGTGGAAATGTATCGTTGATTGAACAGTATATTCAACCAAGAGTTTGGTGTCCTGCATCATGTAGCTGATCTGACCCAAACGGCTGAAATTAGCCATCTTTGGTCAGACGGGATCAGTCAGTGGAAACATGAGAAGGATGACTCTATGATTTCATATATGTTCATCTCTTCTAGATCTGAGAACCAACATCCTTAAACTTTCCTTTTTGATGAAGATAACAGAGTGTATTTAGTTATTATACTGTAATAGCCTCTAGTTAAACTGCTTCAGGTTTTGTTTGTAGGAGGAAATAGTGACCAATTTACTTACCCAGCTGGTTTGGCTAAATTTACCCTCCATTTCTGCATCTATGCTTGCAGTTTTTGCTGCCATTAACTTTGCATGAACTCTTTATTTATCTTTGCCACTGAACGCACACCTGGGGCAGCGTTTCTGTGTTTGTCTTTGCATCTTTATTTTCCTCTCAGATTCCACTAAACTGTCATGCATAGCAGCTCGTCTGGAGCTCAATCATTATTCCTCAGGAGGTTTCTTCATTGAAGTTAAGATTCAGCTCAATCTCCTCGGTTCATTAAAGTTAAACCTACGTATGATTTGAGCATAAATTGTCATGATTTGTTGATAATTGTGAATTAAATAAATAGGCATGGATATTTGCGGGATTCGAATGTTGTCTCTATATGATTTGTTAAAGATAGTTGTGTGTGGGTGTGTGTCTACCGGAGTAGTCCACAGGCTTTTTCCGGTCTCCATTCATGAACATCTTAAGAGTTGGAAAGCTTCCGACCTCAAACTCATCAGCCAGCTCTCTCTCCTCGATGGCGTCCACTTTGGCCAAACGCATGCCTGTTTCCTCATCCTTCAGCTTTCCTGCAGCCTCAGCATAAATTGGCTCAAACTGTTTGCAGTGGCCGCACCAGGGAGCATCTACAGACAAAGAAAAACATAAACTCTGAGTAATGCAGCACAGAAAGCCCAGCCAGTGAACAGTTACAGGAGCCTTATCTGTCCTGTTGCTATCATTCGCTCATTTTCTATGGAAATAAGCTGCTGATAGCAAGAGAGGCAGTTGGTCTCAGCGTTTTTTGTTCTGTGCTTCTTGCTGTTCTATGTGGGGACCTTTGCTCCTGCACTGCTGAGCATATGTGTGGGAGAGTTACAGCAGGGCAACATCTGGACATGACAGGACACAAATGGGGGCATTTCTCCATTTGTTTCATAGCAGTTAGGAGATATCTCATGGTTATCCCCAGATCCTGTTTTCTTTCATAAGAACAAACATTTCAGATATTGTAAAAAAAAAAAATGCCTGTGTTTAATATTTAAGTTCACTTTTGATAGTTTAAAGTCTTTCAGGTATTTTCCTTTAGAGCAGCATTTCTTCAGATAGTAACAAATGTAACATATGTTACATCAGCTTTTTCTAAAACTCCACATCCTGCACAAAAATCTGCCAATTAACAATACAATTTATATTCTCTCCTGATAAGGAAATGAATCATTGGTTTCTACTTACAGAACTCAACCAGTAAAAACTTATTCTCGCTGAGAGCTCTATCGAAGTTGTTGATGTGCAGAACCAAAACATCTTTGTCTTCCTCTATATCTGTTGTCTTCTCCTTCTTTGGCTCCTCATCTGTTTCCTCCGAGGTGTCCTCTGATGTCTCCGCTGATGCGTCCCCCTGTCCCTCTGTTGCCTTGTCTGGTTCATCTTGGGGGTCTTCTGCCTGGATGGTGGAGGCCGTTAGCAGCAGTATCAGGCCCAGCAGAGAGATGAATAAAATCTTGTGTGTCCTCATGTCTGTCTGTGCAAACTGCCCTGTCACCTCTGCTCAGGTGTGGAGAAACCTGCAGAACATGTGTCGGTGTAAGTTCCTACGTTTATTTATCTTCGATGGAGAGTGTGTGTCAGAATGCTACTGGCCTTTCCTCTTGTCCAATCAGAGGCTACGCCTGCACAGGCCTCTTTGAAGCCAATCGTGTAATGCCATGTGAAGATTAAGATTTGGTTCAAAAATCATTGTAAAGGTAAGAAATTACTGGAAATTAACATTTTTCCCCTCTCATTTATATAGCTTGATTTTAAAGTATGTCCTCAATAGATATTTTTAATAAATAATTACTTCCTGTTGCTTATCAGCCCTAATTTACCTAAAAACTGTTCCACTGATAGAGACAATGGACAGTATATACAAAGAAGATTTGGATTTAGTTTATCTTTGCTGTGCTTTCAAACCTGCTCACACCAGTTTCTGTATATGTATGTCCCATCCACAAACTTATTTTATGTATTTTATTGGGGTTCTATGTAAAAAACAGAACTCTAGGTATACCACACAAGTCATGAATGAAGTAATTATAATTTACGATGGGTTACTAGCAATCTCCAAAGCTTTGAGAACACATCTCAATCAACCATGTTAAAATGGAAAGGACTCATACAAACCGAGACATGGCTGTCAACCTAACCTGACAGGTTGGACTAGGATATTGATCCCAGAAGCAGCTAAGAGGCCTGTGGAAACTGAAGCTGCAGAGATCAACACCTTAGGTGAGAGCATTTGCTGATCGGTCAGTTTCTAGTTATTCACTCAACAAATATTGCTCTGGAGAGGCAAGAAGAAATGAACAGTCCTGTTTTCAGCTGTTCACATACTTTTTTTTTTTAGTATTACAGAATTTAGATCAAAAAGAAACATTTTGGTTTATAACATTTAGATTTTCTTTGAGAGAATGAAAATCTATTAAGCAGCTACATCCAAGTGTTAGGGTGAAACCTGACAATGCCGGAGGGGATTTAATGGGTAGTGTAATACTTATTCCACTCCAGTGAGAGGCACTGTTAACTTAGACAACTTTATTTTCATTTTGTATACACAGAATGTATGCAAAACGAAATTTCGTTTGGTACAGCTTTTCAGACAGTAAATTAACATTTCCATTTTATAAAGTGCAGAAGTGATTAAATGTAAAACAGTGTTGGAGAAAAAAAACATGGCACAAAAAACCCTGCATATATATGGAAGTTTAGAGCAGTAATATATATGGTGCAAATATGCAATTATTTTTGTTTTGGTGTTATCAGTGTGATGCAGAGTCTGTGACATCATTTACGGATTTTGGATCGATGCCTAATTTGTAGCTTTTTAATCTGCGTTGATTGTGTATTTGTCTGGAGCTGTAGCAAGCCGCTGCCTTCAGGCGAAGCCATCTTGGAACGAGAACCAAAGAGAATAGCCATTTGTTTGGTCCAATCTACGCAAATGCTGTAGGAGCAAAATGTTTTGGTGTAAAATCTCCCAGTATTGGAAGAGGTTTCAAATATTGTCTGTTTTGCTTCCATTACAGTTGGAGAAGACACTGTTTGACCATGGAGTTTGTCGGATAAACCCAGACTGGTTTTGTCTGGACAGGGCCAGATCTGATGGAAACACAGATGGAGATAAATACAAGCTGAGGCTTTTATTTCGGCAGGAAAGCCACTATAGAAAAACAGCTAAAGTTACAATAGACTGATTCAAATCTAAGTAAAAATGTGGTCTAATCAAAGTCCATACCATAAGTTCATAGAAAAAATATATAACCTTTATGCTTACAGACAAACTTCAGTTACAGCACTTTGCAAAGAACATTTTACTATCAACATGTGTCCTTTGCTTTAGACACTTGATACAGTTTTACTGCACTTCACACTATGCACTGCTTTATTTAAGACTATCAGAAAAATGGTTATGTGTGTTCATTAGACACAGTATGAAGTCATTCCTTAATCTCAGTTGCATTTTAATGTCTCCATATGTATCTTATAATACTCAGGAATTCAGTTATAAACTAGTAAATCCACAGTAAAACTGGAAAATTGTAAAAACTGCAAAGGAATAGGATTAAAATGATCGATGAAGAATAATGCAAGACACAGGTTAGCTCAAAACTTTTGTACAGTTCTGTAGTAGCATCTATATGGTGTTTATTGTTGGAGGAACAACCAGGAAGCAGTTTTGCATCATACTGGATTCACACGATGAATGTGGCTAACTGCACTGCTGCCACAGCTGCATAACCTGTGAGAGGCCTTCTGTAGGGCATGTTTGGATCAAAGCATACTGATTAGCTAGGATGGTCCAGTTAAATCCCAGACCTAAACTAAGGATGCCGCCTTTATGAAGGTGATGAGAAACATGTTTCCATCCTGTGGATCTCTTCCTCCTCCATGCATGATGTTGATGCAGAACTGGAGAGCTAACAGACTGCTACATGATGTAACAAGGTGCATTTAGCTTCGATCTTTTCTCCCAGCAGCTGTTAGACGTCATAACCATCACTGGTCGCTACAAACTCTACAAGTTTACAGCTCTGGTGTTTTTGCATGGGGGCGCTGGGGTTGTTCTCTTGTTAATAGTCTGTTGTGCTTCTATGCATAAATATTAATAACCAGTTTTGTAACTTTTCTAAATCTCCCCACTTGGTTGGACATTTCTTTGAATTTTGAATACAGTGGTATTTTTCTTATGCTGTAAATTTGGCCTTAGTGTACAGTCTTGTTTTTGCTTTTTATATTTTCTAACCTTTTGTGCACCCAGATGCTTTCTGTGCTACCTGCTGCTTAATCTTAATTTCCCCACTTTGAGACAATGGGAAGGTATTTAATTTAATTTCTATTCTATTTCACTAGACAGATATTTGTGATGATTTAAACTCATTTAAACTGTTATCTGATTAACTAACAGACTCTTTACTAGTGTAGGTGCTGATACTATTATTTATTTGCAACTGTGTTCATGGCTGACAGTGATAATTTTCTCATCATTGTGAAACTGCTGTACCAAGGAAAAACCAAAGATCAAAGCCAAAGAGAAGAAAGGATGCTAATGAAATGTTGGTTTGACTTTCTATTTCTAAGTTTGACATAGTTTAAAATAACTGAGAAAAAAAATAATATTTTTAAGATTTAGAAATGTTCCCATCTAAAACATTGCATTTTTTAAATAATTCGTAAATTATTATGAAGCTTGAAAAGGTTTCCACTATTAGAAGAAAACACACTGCTTTGTTCTTGTTGTTTCCAGTTTATTGAACAGCTGCAAAGGTCGTGACCCGAGCCAATCAGATGTCAGCTTCAGGCAGCTGCTGTGTGTTTATTTCTGCATGCGGGTCCTCCATCAGTGTGTGGGTAAACTCTGGGTTTGGATCCCAGTAAGCCAGCAGGTCGCTGAAGTCTGGCTCGGTGTCGGAGATGCTGTGGTGGGTTACTGGGTTGTAGTGCATTTGTCTGCTGCTCTCTGCCTGTCCAGGTGTACTACTATTTGTATGCAGGATGTCAGGTGTGCTGCTGAGGCCAACCAGAGGGCAGCGAGGGACTGGCTCAGTCCAGAAACTGAGCGGGAGGTGTCTGTTGATCATTGGCTGGCCCCTGACCTGACTCAGGCCCCTGAGGTTGAACAGTTCAGCCAGGGGCCCCAACCCACTGCTGCCCTTTAAAACGTTGAGTCCTTGATTACTGTTTGGAGCCTTCACCTGATCCTCTGGGGCTCCTGCACCTGCAATCCTCAGCAGATCGTCGTAGTAACGCAGACGGCCACTGGTCACCATGGAGACAGAGTCATCGTATATGTCACAAGCTTCTCGATCTTCAGAGCAACGGCCAAAATACCGCTGAACATCACGACTGATGAGGTCAGCAAACCGCAGCAGCTGATTGGTCACATCCAGAGCATTCTGAGCGGGACTCAAAATGAACTGATCAAGACATTCTTCTTCTTCATCTTCCTCGTCTTCCTCTTGATCTTCTTCATCTTCTCGTTCCTGTTGAGTCTCCTTTATGAGATGCCCATTGTCCTTTTTGCACGGAGAGTCCAAGAAAGCAGAGAAGTAGGTCTGAGACGTTGCTTGGATGTGAAAGTTCCTGATGACCCCTGTGGCCATGTCCCCTTCAAACCTGCCGAGATCGAAGCCGTGAGGAGAGAAAAGGAGGAATATGCCGTAGAGGCGACTTTAAGAAGCATGAAAGACAGTGACGTCTTGTTAAAGTTCACCTCCTGACTGGATTTCTCTGTGTTCAGTCTGACTCCTAGAAGAGAATATCTGGGTCACAGATGAATGGCCTCTTTGTGAGGTGATGAGCTTCAGTAGTCCAGCAGGATCGTCTCTGTATATATACCTCAGGGAACCTGTGTCTCGTGTCGAGCTAGGGCAGCTTCCTAAAATAAATATTTGCATGCCGGATTGGTCAAACACAGTATGTTTACTTTATCGCCGGGCAACCTGAGAGGGGGGCCAAGCCTAATGGATGCTCTGCTAAGTGACGATGGAGAGCTTTTACACACGTGTACACAAGCTCATCATTGCTTTTTCCGTCCCTGTTATCAAGCTAGTTAAAGGATAAAAGAGCGTGAAATCCAATCACACGCTGTTTTGATTTGTAAAGGGGGCAAGGTGGGTTGATGGGGGGGTTTGCACAGCACTGTCTGTCCAGACTCCCAAAACATTACGTTCCAGGTTGCTTTTTATGTGCAAACAAAACCAAATGTACAGTCTAGATTCTAGTCTAATGTATTTTTTATCTGATCTGCTATTTCATCCAGGTGAATTTTTGCATGTACAATTATTTATATAAATAGAGTTAGTGGCAAATTACAGCTCTTAACTCATTTACAGGTGAGTCAAGTCTAAAATGGAGCCTGTTGAGTGTCAAGCAGTGATCCGTACACCATGGGAGACTTTTGATTAAATGAAATTTACTTATGGGGATGATGCCCCATCATATGAGCTTGTAAAAGGTTTTATAAGGTCATATGATGGGGCATCATCATCAAGTCTCCTGTGATGTGCGTGCTTTCAAGTACAAAAACTGAATCCCTGCTCGACACTCAACATT